CCCCAAATGATTGAAAAAACGAAAGCCTGAAAATTTTTTTCCCAAGAAGGAAGGTTTGCGGGTGTTTTTTTTTTCTGTCCAAAACATGCAAGTTTTTTCAGGTAGGGTTCTTCCCTATTTTCCTTTTTCCTTACACTTAGGCACACAACCCCATTACAAGCATTTTAAATACACACAACCCTCGGGGTTTTCTGCTTTTTTCTTTCTAGTTCTTTTTCCCTTGTTTTTTCCCCCCCTTATCTCCAAAGGGGGGAAGGGGAACAAAATTTCCCTTCCTCCGAAAGCCATGCGTTTGAAAAGGCCCGCCCAAAAATCCCGGGAAAAGGGGGCTAGAAATCTTCTTCTCCTTTTAAAAAATTACTTTTTTTAAAAAAGAGAAACTTTTTTTTTTTTTGGGGGCCCACCCGCCTCGGGGGGAAAAAAAGGGCCGGGTTTTTGGGTTGAAAGAAAAAGGGAAAAGAAAGAAGAAGTTCTTGTTTTTTTCCCTCTTATCTCCAGGGGGAAGGGGAAAACAAATTTTTCCCGAAACCCCAATGCTTGTTGCAAGGGGTGACTAAAATCCCGGGGAACAAGGGGCTAGTAACCCATCTCCTGTATAAATTACTAAATTTAAAAAAAAACCCTTTCGTTTTTTTTTTTGGGCCACCCTCCCTTTGGGGGGTTTAAGGCCGGGTTTGTTGAAAGAAAAAAGAAGATCAGTGCCCTCAAGGGAGTTTTTACATATGTATTATTAGGTGACAAAGTTTGGATACAGTTTGTAGGGAGATGGAGGAGGTTGTATTCAGATATTTGGGAGGGGAAATGTGTCAGCAGAGGGTTCTATGAAAAAAGAGGTAAATCATAAAAATTTCCCGGGGGAAAAAAAAGGTGGGGGTGGTGAAAACTTTGAGCCCTGGGGGAAAATCAAAGAACTTTTTTTCCATGGAACCCAAAGATGGGAATGTATGAGAGTAAGTTATACCAATGCCCCCTTATAGGGGTGTGAAACATGGCGGGTGAATGTTCCAAACAAGGAGAAGGCGGGAGGCGTGGAAAAATGTCAGGGTTTTAAGGAAAAGTGTGGGGGAATATAAGCAGAAAATTCGTAGCTTGGAAATTAGGAGGAGATGCGGGATTCCCAAAAACCTTTTATTTTAGAGGGCGGGGGGGGGGGTTACGAGGTGGTTTGGGACTGTAAGGGGAGGGAAAAAAACAGAAGTTTTAAAGTGTAAAAATCTTAGTGAAGGGAGGGCCCGGGGTAGGGGTCACCTGGGAAAAGGTTGGGGGGAAAGGGGGAAAAGGGAGGTTTTGTGTACGAGGGGCTTTTCCTTCCAGCAAAGCATGTGGGGTGTTTGTTAGATGGAGAAAATTTGAGACAAAGGATTTTAGGACTTGATTTGGGCTTTTGGAGTATGAAAAAGGGAAATTTTTTCAAGGGGGCCCGAAAACCGGAAACCCTGGACTTGAGTCTTGGAGAGGGGAATACAGTGGCATTTTTTTAATAACAAGTGAAAACCCATGCCCTGGCAAGAAAAGGATGGAGTGAATGATGATAAAGTTTTCTTTTTCGGGCCCAAACCCTCCCTTTGGGGTTTTGGGAAAAGGCCGATGGGGTTAATAATAAAAAACTTTTATTAGTGCTAGAATTAAAGAAGTTAAAAAAAGGCTTATATTACCATTAGTGCCCGTGAAATAAACCTTATTTTTTAGAAAAATTTTTTAGTGACCCCTGAGGAAGGACAAAGGGAAAAGCCTTTGGATTAAGCAATGGTTGAGTTTAACCAGTGTGTGGGGCCCCAAAACATCCAACTTATAAAACAAGTGGGTGTTTATGAAATTCATCACCTCCAAAATGAAAAAGTACTTTTAATTTCAAAAAAAATTTAAATTAATTTGGGGGTCCAAATAAACATAACCTTTTATGGGGGGAAAAACAAAATTGTAAAGTTTTTTCCTTAAAGAATGTTTTTTTTAGGGCCCTATGTAGGGCAATTTAAAAAAGAGCCAAATTTCACATGGGAATATAAAAAAATATTTTTGAACAAAGCAAATGTACAAGTTTAAAAAAATCAATTTGTTTTGAATGACATAATTTTTAAGTGCTCAGTCACTTTTGGGGGGCAGAGGATTGGGATTGGTTTTTTGGGGTGACATCCATTTTTTAGTGACCCCCAAAACTGAATTTTCCCTTTTAAATTTATTTATGAATTTAAAAAATATATAAAAAGGGCAGTGTTAAATTTCCCCACAAATGGTTTAAAATTTTGAAAAGACCATTAAAAGCCTCTCCCTTATCAAAGTTCTCTGCTGCTGACAATTCGCAAGCTACTCGACCTTTACTTCAAACACATCCGAAATTTGGGATAACCCCCCAAACGCAGGACCCCTTTTTTACACTTTAGCTCAAACCCCTTTGCAAGAGAGACTTTATCTTTTAAGGGCCCACTTCAGCAATCCCATTCCTTCTTTAAAATGTAAAAAAAACCCCCAAATTTTTCTTTGAATTTAAACATTTTTTTTTAAAATTACTAGGTATCAATTTGAAAAAAAAAATTTGGCAGACTTTAGAAAATGCATTAATGTGGGTTTCAAATTACTTATGATATACCAATAAGGGTTTACCACACTGCATAACATCAGAAATGGGTGGGTTTCCTCAGAGACCCTAGCAGTGAAAGACATAAAAACTACCACACCACATCTGAAGAGCTTAAACAGGAAAGGTTTCATAGTGAATTTACAAATGAGCAAAGGGGCCCAAAACCAGGGGAAAATAAAATACCCCTTTAAAGGGAAAAAAAACACTTGCCCAAAATATCCATATTAAAAAGGGAAAAGACCCAATGAAACTGCATTTACAAAATTTTTTCAATAAAAAATTTTTAAAAGTGTCTTTTTTTAAAATTTTTTCCCCTTTGGGTTTAAAGGGAAATTTACAATCTTTTTATTAAAGTACACCCCTCCTCATTAACGACAAAGTTTTCCCTTCCTAAGACCTTTTCGGGAAAAGAAATTTATCCTAATGAGGAGCATACTATAATGGAAATGGGGGTTTTGGGGCCAAAATATCTTTGAAAATTATTTTAATGTCACCTTTGAAACCCTTTATTTAAAAATCTCTGGGAAAATTTTTTAAAAAGTTTATTCAGTAGTGTACTGTAATTGTTTAAAAAACAGAATAGAGAAATTGGCTCTAGTATACATTTTTTAGGGATCATACTGGCAGAGAGCCCCTCTTTTGTCCCAGGCGTCAGTAAACAGTACGTCGCTAAGTGAGGGGGGGCTGTATTGGGTAATTTTTCAGCAAAATGATATTTAAAATGGATATAATTCTATGTAGAGTACTTTTATAAATGGTAATTTCACCCCCTTTAACCTACTTTCCCTTTTCTTGGGGAAAAATTTTCATAAATGCTTCTTTTGGGTCCGGGTCCCCATGTAGTTTGTTTCGACTCATCGGACCTTAAAAAATTTTCCCAAATTTTTTTAACAATCTCCAAAAAAATATCATCCCTTTTTCTTCCCTTCTTTTTAAATGGGGCCCAATTTGGAACGGTTTTTTTTGGAACTCTCTTTTAGAAACTTCCTTTTTGATGAAAAAAGGGAAAAAGAGAATTGCTTATTACCTATAAGCCTTACATATTTACTCCCCCCCCCAATATATTACTAAGTTCCCAATTTTAAGGTTTTATTAAAATATTAAACCCAATGAACTATAAAAAATTTGAAAACAATCTTTTTTTTTCAAAACTGATATTCCCCAAAAACTTGGGGGGAAAATTTAAAAAACTTTTGGGAAAAAAAATCATGAAAAACATTAAGTAAATTTTTCCCACAATTTTTTTAACAAAAATTTTTAAAAATAATGGCTAGTGAAAACAAAAACCACACTTTTTTTTCATTCGACCCCCAATTTTACTAGGGAAACCCCTACTTTTTTTTAGCCATTTCACGTTCATTAGTTTTATCTAGATGCGGGGGGGGGGGGTTAAAAAAACTTTAAAAAATTTTTTCATTAAAAATAGAGAAAACCTGAAATCAAACATTTTTTCTTTTAAACACACCGGCCGCTCCCACCGAGGTAGGGTGACCGAAAAAAATTTCTTCCCATTTTTCACCTTTCACTCACCCCATCACCCACCTCCCAAAAGGGCATGCCAACAAAAACAGCTCAATGCCCCTTTATACAGCAAAAACCCCCCTGTCCCTTTTTCAAGTGCAGGTACCATATTTCCCCAACATCCAGGCCCCAATTTTGAGCTTACCATTTTCCCTGAATCCTTTCATAATTTTTCCCCCCTGCTCAAAAACCCAAACCCAGCATGCCCAATCACAAAACCCATTTGCCCTCTACTCACTCCTATCTATGCTCACAAAAATGCCTGTTGGAGGGCCAAACTCCCTCACAAAAAACCCCCTTTCCCCCCAAACCCTTTTCCTGGGATGACCCCTACCCCCCTTCCCCTAATAAGATTTTTTACACCCCCCCAAGTTTCCGTTTTTGCTTCATCCTCTCAAATGCCCAAAACCCAAACCTAAATAACCCCCCCTCAGCCCTCTGGATAATACTTTCACAGCCCACTTTTTCCCTTCTAATCAATTCTTAAAATTTTTAAAGTTAGGGGAACCCCCACAAAAATCTGGCGTTTTAGGCACTGGCAAGATATTTTCGGTCATGGGCCCCGGGCTGCAGAGGTAAAAAACTCAAAACCACCCATGGGAATTTTTGGCACTTTTCCTCTAGTCAAAAAATTTACAAAATTTACGGGTTTTCCTTTAATTTTTTTTTTTCTCTAGTTATCCTTTTTTAACCCCAAATTTTTTCCCTAAATTTGGTCCCCCTTGACTATTCGGCTCAAAATTTTTTCACACCATGCCCCACGGGAAGCAAACCCACAAAATGCATCCCTTCACCGGAACCATCTTCAGACCATGAAAACCTAAATCCAGAGGTTTAAAGGTCACGGGGTATTTTGGGACCCTTTAACTGCTGACATTTTCTAATAAAACTTCAACATGACTGAAAATCACCCCCCGGCTCCCCTCTTCTCCCCTTTGCTTTAGGAGGTTTTAAATCTGAAGTCACCTTTTTAAAGTTGAACACAAGAAATTTTAAAAAAAGCTCATTGAAAATACAGTTCATATTTTGTAGCTATTTTTTTCATCAATTAGAATTGCCTGGTTTTTAAAAAAAGATTTCAAATTACATTTTTCATTTTTAATAGAAAGTTATTTACTCTAGTTTTTTAATACATAAATTTTTATGATGAACCACTATACCAATCTCAAAGAAATAAAATTTTCAAACTCAAATTTATTTTTTGAATTTAAAAACTAAAAATGCCCATAATACTTTTATAATCAAGATATAAGGGGAGTAGGTTTGGGAGACAGCAACCACCCAGGGAAGTACTACCGTCCCCGCCAGATGCCCGGAAACAAAAAAACCCGTAACTTTTTTTGCAAAAGTAGGGTTGCTGGTTTTTTTTTCTTTTCAAAAACACCTAAGAAAAACAGGGATATCTTCTACCCTACTTTAAAAATTTGGGCACACAACAAGACAACGCACATGCATATAATATATATCATACAAACAAGGGTTTTTTCTCCCCTTTTTTTAAATACCTTGTTCTTTTTTATTTCTTCATTGTCCTGGGGAAAATGGAAAAGGGAAACTTTCCTTTCCCTAAACCAGCCTGTCGTATGAGGCGACTAAAAAGCCGGGAGCAATGGGTAGAACCCCCTTTTCCTGTATACAATTACTAAAAAAAGAAAAGAAAAACTTTTTAAAACGGGTTGCTTTAAAAGGGCGTGGATGTAGGCGGAAGAAAAAAAACAAAATGATTGCTGATGTTATGAATGAAAAGAAATTTGGGTGCCTGGCCCAAGCGAAAAAAAGCGAAGGGGGGGAAAGGGGGGGGTTTTTAGTGGGGGAAATAAAAGGGATTAAAAACTTTAGTATCTGAGAGAGTTAGAGCAAAGGAAGGGGTAGCAGTAATGTTAAATGAATCAGTTATGGAAGGAGAAAAGAGAATATGAATGTGTAAATTCAAGAATTATGTGGATTAAAGTAAAGGTTGGATGCGAGAAGTGGGTCATAATAAGCGTGTATGCACCGGGAAAAAAGAGAGGAATTCCCAGAGGAGAGAGAGAGATTTTGGGAGATGTTAAGTGAATGTATAGGAGCCTTTGAACCAAGTGAGAGGTAATTGTGGTAGGGATTGATTGCTAAAGTAGGAGAAACTTTTAGAGAGGGTGTGGTAGGTAAGTTTGGGGTTGCCAGGTGTAAATGATAATGGGAGCCCTTGTGATTGAACTTTGTATAGAAAGGGGTTTATTTTATAGGTAATACATTTTTTTAAGAAAAGAGGATAAATAAGTATACACGATATGATGTAGGGCGAAATGACAGTAGTTTGTTGGATTATGTATTGGGTAGATAAAAGACTGTTGAGTAGACTTCAGGATGTACATGTTTATAGAGGGGCCACAGATATATCAGATCACTTTCTAGTTGTAGTACACTGAGAGTAAAAGGTAGATGGGATACAAGGAGAATAGAAGCATCAGGGAAGAGAGAGGTAAAGGTTTATAAACTAAAAGAGGAGGCAGTTAGGGAAAGATATAAAACAGCTATTGGAGGATAGATGGGCTAATGAAGATGGGCAATGGGGTCGAAGAGGTATGGGTAGGTTTAAAAATGTAGTGTTAGAGTGTTCAGCAGAAGTTTGTGGTTACAGGAAAGTGGGTGCAGGAGGGAAGAGGAGCGATTGGTGGAATGATGATGTAAAGAAAATTTAGTAAGGGAGAAAAGTTAGCATTGAAAAGTTTTTACAAAGTAGAAGTGATGCAAGGAGGGAAAAAGTATATGGAGAAAAAGAGAGAAGTTAAGAGAGTGGTGAAGCAATTTTAAAAAGAGAGCAAATGAGAGAGTGGGTGAGATGTTATCAACAAATTTTGTTGAAAATAAGAAAAAGTTTTGGGAGTGAGTTTAACAAGTTAAGAAAGCCTAGAGAAAAAATGGATTTGTCAGTTAAAAATAGGAGAGGAGAGTTATTAAATGGAGAGTTAGAGGTATTGGGAAGATGGAAGGAATATTTTGGGGGAATTGTTAAATGTTGATGAAAATAGGGAAGCTGTGATTTCGTGTATAGGGCAAGGAGGAAAAAACATCTTGTAGGAGTGAGGAAGAGTCAGTTGTGAGTGTGGGGGAAGTTTGTGAGGCAGTAGGTAAAAAGAAAGGGGTTAAAAGGGAGCCGGGATTGATGGGATAAAGATAGAAATGTTAAAAGCAGGTGGGGATATAGTTTTGGAGTGGTTGGTGCAATTATTTAATAAATGTATGGAAGAGGGTTAAAGGTACCTAGGGATTGGCCCGAGAGCATGCATAGTTCCTTTGTTATAAAGGCAAAGGGGATAAAAGAGAGTGCCAAAAATTATAGGGGGATAAGTCTGTTGAGTGTACCTGGTAAAGTGTATGGTAGAGTTATAATTGAAAGAATTAAGAGTAAGACGGAGAATAGGATAGCAGATGAACAAGGGCTTTAGGAAAGGTAGGGGGTGTGTGGACCAGGTGTTTACAGTGAAACATATAAGTGAACAGTATTTAGATAAAGGGTAAAGAGGTCTTTGTGGCATTTATGGATTTGGGAAAAGGCGTATGACAGGGTGGATAGGGGGGGCAATGTGGCAGATGTTGCAAGTGTATGGTGTAGGAGGTAGGTTACTGAAAGCAGTGAAAAAGTTTTTTACGAGGGTAGTGAGGCTCAAGTTAGAGTATGTAGGAAAGAGGGGGAATTTTTTTCCCCGTTTAAAAGTAGGCCTTAGACAAGGATGTGTGATGTCACCGTGGTTGTTTAATATATTTATAGATGGGGTTGTAAGAGAAGTAAATGCGAGGGTCTTGGCAAGAGGCGTTGGAGTTAAAAGATAAAGAATCACACAAAGTGGGAGTTGGTCACAGCTGCTCTTTGCTGATGACACTGTGCTCTTGGGAGATTCTGAAGAGAAGTTGCAGAGATTGGTGGATGAATTTGGTAGGGTGTGCAAAAAAAGAAAATTAAAGGTGAATACAGGAAAGAGTAAGGTTATGAGGAAAACAAAAAGATTAGGTGATGAAAGATTGAATATCAGATTGGAGGGAGAGAGTATGGAGGAGGTGAACGTATTCAGATATTTGGGAGTGGACGTGTCAGCGGATGGGTCTATGAAAGATGAGGTGAATCATAGAATTGATGGGGGAAAAAAAGGGGTGAGTGGTGCACTTAGGAGTCTGTGGAGACAAAGAACTTTGTCCTTGGAGGCAAAGAGGGGAATGTATGAGAGTATAGTTTTCCCCAACGTCTTATATGGGTTGAAGGTGGGTGATGAATTTTTGCAGCGAGGAGAAGGCTGGAGGCAGTGGAGATGTCATGTCTGAGGGCAATGTGTGGTGTGAATATAATGCAGAGAATTCTTTAGTTTGGAAGTTAGGAGGAGGTGCGGGATTACCAAAACTGTTGTCCAGAGGGCTGGGGAAAGGGTTGTTGGGTGGTTCGGACATGTAGAGAGAATGGAGCGAAACAGAATGACTTCAAGAGTGTATCAGTCTGTGTGAAGGAAGGCGGGGTAGGGGTCGGCCTAGGAAGGGTTGGAGGGAGGGGTAAAGGAGGTTTTGTGTGCGAGGGGCTTGGACTTCCAGCAGGCATGCGTGAGCGTGTTATTAGGAGTGAATGGAGACAAATGGTTTTTAAATACTTGACGTGCTGTTGGAGTGTGAGCAAAGTAACATTTATTGAAGGGATTCAGGGAAACCGGCAGGCCGGACTTGAGTCCTGGAGATGGGAAGTACAGTGCCTGCACTCTGAAGGAGGGGTGTTAATGTTTCAGTTTAAAAACTGTAGTGTAAAGCACCCTTCTGGCAAGACAGTGATGGAGTGAATGATGGTGAAAGTTTTTCTTTTTCGGGCCACCCTGCCTTGGTGGGAATCGGCCGGTGTGATAATAAAAAAAAAAAATAAAATATATATTTTGCCACCCTGCCTCAGTGGGATCCAGTTTGTTGAAAGAAGATATCTTAATAATGATAAATTAAAAAAATCCAATAATTAAACCAGAGATAAGAGTTAATTCTGCCTTATGGTGACAGCAGTGGTCAAGGTTAGCAAAGCCCTGTTCCCTTTCTCCCTTCTCTAAATAGGTGAAGATTAGAATATTCATGATTCATCAATTTTCTTAGAAAACCTACCCTTAGATTTTGATTATGATTTATAATGAAAAGGGCATAGATTCAGATACTATATTCACAAAAACAGTAGAAACACATCTGAATGATCAGTGGTTACAAACAATGGAACAAGTGAATATTATCCATGAGGTAGCTTACATATATCAAAACATTTCTGGCAAAACTTTTCAGTGCTCACTGGATAGCTATTATTATATTTAGAAAGAAGCACTAAACTCACAGGGGTTATACAGCACCTGGGGAATGGGATGCAATCAGATTTGAGCCAAGGAAGGGGAGAAGTCCAATTCCTTGTATCAAGGCCCCTCACTCGCATATCTGCCCTAGTAGAGGAGCACTGCAAGGGAGCCATGGGCCCACAAAGGGTAGGAACAAGAACACAGAGGGGAAAAAATAATAATAATGGACCAAATACCCAAGGCAGAAGAAAGAAAACCCAAAGGAGAAAGAGGAAACAGGAAGAAGAAGGGGGAAAAAAGAATCGGGTTAAGTCACGGGTGTTCTGAAGTCTGGAGCATTTTACAATGTAATGGGAAAGGAAGGCATCTACAAAGCCAAGACTAAGATTAATACAAGGAAAGTTGTGTATAAGGGAGGATTCCTTGTATGACTCTTAGTCCTAGCTTTGTCTCTGTAGATGCCTTCCTTTGCCATTACATTATAAAATGCTCCAAACTTCAAAACACCCATGACTTAACCTGATTCTTTCTTCCTCCTTCTCCCTCTTCCCCTTTCCACTTTTTCCTTTGGGTTTTCTTTCTTCTGCCTTGGGTATTTGGTCCATTATTATTATTTTTCCCCCTCTGTGCTTCTGTTCCTACCCTTTGTGGGCCCCTAGCTCCCTTGCAGTGCTCCTCTTTTAGTCTTTGACTGACTCCTCTACTACTACTACTACCACCACCTCTACCACTACTACTACTACCACCTCTACCACTATACTCTTCTTCCTTTTCTACTACCTCTCTTGTCCTGTTCCTGTCTACTGGCCTATATATACTCCCCCCTTCTCTCCTTTTTTGTTAGTGTGACTTTGGAAATGGTCCAAGTTGGACCAAAACATCGTTGTAAGCTCCTCTCTCCTGTGAGGATATTTGTGTATTGTTCCAGTCATAGTATTGTGCCTTTTTGTTCTAAACTTTCTCAACATACAATAAAGATGGAAGACACACAAATGCAGTATAATGCAATCTTTTATTGACAACATTTAGTCCACACAGTGTTTGTGACTTGATAAAGTCCACTGTGTGGGCGAAACAGTCAATGAAGGATTGCGTTATACTGCATTTGTCTTTTTTTTCATCATGTTGGTATTTTATAACATTTCTCTCCACACAACAGATACACAACACACAAACCTTTGAAGTAGCTGTTGCCTCTGATACACGTAATATAACATCTACAGTTATTATTGGAGCCTCCATCGGATTCTTTTTGTCTTCTTGTTTCTTATAGCTAAGCACTACACCCCAGCCAAAATCATCTTCATTATTCTTAACCTGTTGAATTCATGAGGGAAAATATAAATCATCTCTGTCTTACACTTTTCAATTCAATTCATATATATTTATAAACAAGCCATAAACCTGTAGCATGCCACAAATAATGTATCCCTCATACACCAAAACTACATCGTGCGATCTTCTAATTGTATACAAGAAGAAATGGCCATGGTTATTTGCAGCATTCCAAGATAGAAAACTAGTGAATAGCTGACAGTTTTCCTCTGCATTTGTGAATATTTCAACCACAGCAGGACACCATTACACTGTCAGTATGTTGCAATTAATACACTTGCATTCATGCATGTGATTAATGCTGCTGTTGGATTAATATTGCAAATACAACAGTGTAATATAACTGCTCTCAATGGAACAAATGAACAGAAATGAAGAAATAAGTGCATATTTTTATTACTAAACACAACATCAGTGGTAAGCCAATATATGTAGTAGCCTTTTTTTTTTTTTTAACAAGTCGGCCATCTCCCACCTAGACAGGGTGACCCAAAAAGAAACTCCCCAAAACGAAAATATTTTCCTCATCATTCAACACTTTCACCTCACTCACACATAATCACTGTTTTTGCAGAGGTGCCCAGATACAACAGTTTAGAAGCATATATAAAGATACAATATAAAAAGTGACCTGAAATAATATAATGAACTCCCTATAGAATATAATATCAGGGCCCCAATTATATATATACCATCCTATTACACATCCCTCCAAACTACCAATATCCCAAACCCCTCCTTTAAAGTGCAGGCATTGTGCTTCCCATTTCCAGAACTCAAGTCCGGCTATATAAAAATAACTGGTTTCTCTGAATCCCTTCACTAAATATTACCCTGTTCACACTCTAACAGCTCGTCAGGTCCCAAAAACCATTCGTCTCCATCATGCTCATGCACGCTTGCTGGAAGTCCAAGTCCCTCGCCCACAAAACCTTCTTTACCTCCTCCCTCCAACCTTTTTGAGGATGACCCCTACTCCGCCTTCCTTCTCCTACACATTTAAATGCTCTCCATGTCATTCTACTTTGATCCAATCTCTCTAAATGACCAAACCACCTCAACAACCCCTCTTCAGCCCTCTAATACTTTTATTAACTCCACACCGTCTCCTAATTTCCCTTCTTATTTACTGTTTAACTGTTTACCATGTGGGCTCAATTGTACCACAGTGAAATATTATTTATCCTCAAATACTGTAATATGCCAATTTAAAATGAATTATTATGAAGACTATTAAATATTACAAACTTTAGCACTTCCCTTCCAAGACTGACTTGTGATGCATGAATATGAATAATCAATTGTAAATTGTAACTGGTATAATTTCTTAGAGAATTAAATCAAAATACTTTCTATTCATACAATGTAATAATGTTTCTACTCACATAGACCAACCTTCCTGGTTGTAGGAATGGCATGATGTATATAGGTCGTGTAATGAAAGCATGCCGCTCATTCTTCAGGTTATGTATAGTCTGTTTAATCTTGTAATAACTCTCCACCTCACCCTCTCGTGGTACAGTCACAGATTCCAATGCCTTTTCACAACTCCTCACACCTGAAGTTTGAAATAAAATGAATTTCCTTACTTTTTGAAAGCCTTTTTTTTTATTGCAATAAATATAATCATTTCCATGGGGAAGTGGAACAGAATTCTTCCTCCGTAAGCCATGCGTGTTGTAAGAGGAGACTAAAATGCCGGGAGCAAGGGGCCAGTAACCATTTCTCCTGTATATATTACTAAATGTTAAAGGAGAAACTTTCATTTTTCCTTTTGGGCCACCCTGCCTCAGTGGGATAGAGCAGGTGTGTTAAAAGAAACCAAGAAATATAATCATGTTCTAGCACAAGGTTTACTTAAATTACCAATTTAATAATTGCTAGTTAAAAATTTGCCCAAAATGTTCGGTGTAATAAATTTGTAATTCTGATATGTGATATAAGCTGTCTGCTGCAATGGAAGCAGCTGGCACAACCACCATCTTGTCTTATATTTACTTACCAATAAATCTGTCTCAAAATAAATGTGGTATAAGAAATGGATTGCAATATATTCACAGGTTGTACCACACTGGCCTTCCAGATGGTTGCCTACCCACCATACTAACTTCTCATACTTTACTCTTCTAAATTCTTCTTACAATTACATCAACCTTTATTTTTCTTTTTTCTTTTTTTTTTTTTTTTTGCATATACCAAAGATTATTAATTACAATATTTCTCTAATTCCAATCTCCATCAATGGAACCTACATCTTTTGCTATTTCTAAAGCTTCATCATTAGAGGGCACTCCCTCAACTACCTCAAGTCTTACCTCAGCAACAGAAGCCAATATGTGTACGCAAATGGGGCAAGCTCTTCCGCACAACCAATTACAGTTGGTGTCCCACAGGGAAGTGTCCTTGGCCCTCTTCTCTTTCTCCTATACATAAATGACCTACCAAATGCTTCGCAATTACTCAAACCCACACTTTTTGCAGATGACACTACATACGTCTTCTCTCACCCGAGCCCAGTCACGCTAGCCAATACTGTAAACACCGAATTACAGAAAATATCTACCTGGATGAGGACTAACAAACTTACACTAAACATTGACAAAACCTACTTCATTCAGTTTGGTAACAGAGCTACAGATGTACCTCTTAACATAACGATAAACGGATCACCTATCACAAAGCTAACAGAGGGAAAATTCTTAGGAATCCACCTCGATAATAGACTCAAATTTCATACACATATACAACAAATTTCTAAGAAAATTTCCAAGACTGTAGGCATACTATCGAAGATACGGTACTATGTTCCACAGTCAGCCCTCCTGGCCCTTTATCACTCTCTTATTTACCCCTATCTCACCTATGGAATTTGTGCATGGGGCTCAACAACAATTAACCATCTCAGACCACTAATTACCCAACAAAAGGCTGCAGTTAGAATAACAAATTCTCACTACAGGCAACACACTCCACCAATATTCAAAACACTCAACCTACTCACCATACAAAACATCCATACTTATTATTGCACCTATTACATACATAGAACACTTAACTCTGATATTAACCCTCCCCTCAAACATCTCCTTGCCAACCTCAACAGAACACATGACCATAACACAAGGCACAGATCACTCTTTGATGTTCCTCGTGTCCATCTCACGCTATGCAAAAACTCAATGCACATAAAAGGCCCTAAAATCTGGAATTCATTACCTGTAAATATAAAAGAAACACTACCTGTTTATAAATTCAAGTCTCTTCTCAAAGTTCACTTACTCACTCAAAACCAAATAAATACTGAATAACTGAACCTTATAAATTGTATATCCAAAATGTTACTCACAATTATATCACATAAATGTTAAACCTAGGACCCAATCTAACTTTGTTATTTTTTTAAATACACTACCTAACAGAATACTCCATTCTACTGAATGAACAGCAATGCAAGCAACCATATGACCTGTCTTTGTAATAATCATTTGTGCTTTATAGTTATCTGTTTACAATAATGTCTTATCACCGATTTCATCATTGCTTAGTTAATCTTAAGTTAATTTTAAGCCAGCCCGTAATGCTATGCATATAAGTGGCTTTGGCATGTTGCTCTTACCTGTATTTTTTTTGTACCTCTGTATGTATGCTAAAATTTCTAAATAAATAAATAAAATAAATAGTTACTTAAATTTAATTGTTGCTTATTTCTTCACACATACTATCACATGCAAATTTTAAAACACTTTATTCCAACCAACTGAATTTTAAATCAACCCATTTTATTTAGTGCCCAACATGTACCATATCTTCTTTCTTCTTTCAACAAACTGGTTGTATCCCACTGAAGCAGGGTGGTCCAAAAAGAAAAAAAAAGTTTATCTTTTTTTTTCTTTTAACAAGTCGGCCGTCTCCCACTGAGACACGGTGACCCAAAAAGAAAATACTTTCATCATCATTCAACACTTTCACCTCACTCACACATAATCACTGTTTTTGCAGAGGTACTCAGAATACAACAGTTTAGAAGTATGTATATACGTATAAAGATACACAACATATCCCTCCAAACTGCCAATATCTCACCCCTCCTTTAAAGTGCAGGCATTGTACTTCCCATTTCCAGGACTCTAAGTCCAGCTATATAAAATAACCGGTTTCCCTGAATCCCTTCACTAAATAATACCCTGCTCACACTCCAACAGCTCGTCAGGTCCCAAATACCATTCATGTCCATTCACTCCTATCTAACACGCTCACGCACGCTTGCTGGAAGTTCAAGCCCCTCGCCCACAAAATCTCCTTTGCCCCCTCCCTCCAACCTTTTCCAGGACGACCCCCTACCCCGCCTTCCTTCCCCTACAGATTTATACGCTCTCCATGTCATTCTACTTTGATCCATTCTCTCTAAATGACCAAACCACCTCAACAAACCCTCTTCAGCCCTCTGACTAATACTTTTATTAACTCCACACCTTCTCCTAATTTCCACACTCCAAATTTTCTGCATAATATTTACACCACACATTGCCCTTAGACAGGACATCTCCACTGCCTTCAACTGCCTCCTCGCTGCAGCATTTACAACCCAAGCTTCACACCCATATAAGAGTGTTGGTACTACTATACTTTCATACATTCCCTTCTTTGCCTCCATAGATAACATTTTTTGTCTCCATATATACCTCAATGCACCACTCACCTTTTTTCCTTCATCAATTCTATGATTAACCTCATCCTTCAAAAATCCATCCACTGACACGTCAACTCTCAAATATCTGAAAACATTCACTTCTTCCATACTCCTCCTCTCCAATTTGATATCCAATTTTTCTTTATCTAAATCATTTGACACCCTCATTACCTTACTCTTTTTTATACTCACTTTCAACTTTCTGCCTTTACACACTCTCCGAAACTCGTCCACTAACCTTTGCAGTTTTTCTTTAGAATCTCCCATAAGCACAGTATTATCAGCAAAAAGTAACTGAATTCCCATTTTGTATTTGATTCCCCATAATTTAATCCTACCCCTCTCCCCAACACCCTAGCATTTACTTCTTTTACAACCCCATCTATAAATATATTAAACAACTATGGTGACATTACACATCCCTGTCTAAGACCTCCCTCTCTTCTACGCACCCTAACCTGAGCCTCACTATCCTCATAAAAACTCTTTACAGCATTTAGTAACTTACTACCAATTCTGTATACTTGCAACATCTGCCACATTGCTCCCCTATCCACTCTATCATATGCCTTTTCTAAACCCATAAATGCAATGAAAACTTCCCTACCTTTATTTAAATACTGTTCACATATATGCTTCAATGTAAACACCTGATCTACACATCCCCTACCCACTCTCAAACCTCCTTGCTCATCTGCAATCCTTCATTCTGTCTTACCTCTTAATTCTTTCAATAACCCTACCGTACACTTTTCCTGGTATACTCAGTTAACTAATTTGTCTATAATTTTTACAATCTATTTTGTCCCCCTTCCCTTTATATAAAGGAACTATACATGCTCTCTGCCAATCCCTAGGTACCTTCCCCTCTTTCATACATTTATTAAACAAAAATACCAACCACTCTGACACTATATCCCCCCCTGCTTTTAACATTTCTGTCACGATCCCGTCAATTCCAGCTGCTTTACCCCCTTTCATTCTACATAATGTCTCATGTACCTCCCCTACACTCACATCCTGCTCTTCTTCACTCCTAAAAGATGGTATACCTCCCTGGCCAATGCATGAAGTTACCGCCTCCCTTTCTTCGTCGACATTTAAAAGTTCCTCAAAATATTCCCACCATATACCCAATACCTCCACATATATTTCCATTCCACCTCCATCTCCCCATCTACTAACTCCCCTACTCTGTTTTTAACTAACAAATCTGTTTGTTCCCTAGGCTTTCTTAACCTGTTTAACTCACTCCAAATTTTTTTCTTATTTTCATTAAAATTTCTTGACAGTGCCTCTCCCACTCTATCATCTGCTCTCCTTTTGCACTCTCTCACTGCTCTCTTCACCTTTCTTTAACTCTCCATATATTCTGCTCTTCTTATAACACTTCCGCTTTGTAAAAACCACTTATAAGCTACCTTTTTCTCTTTTATCACCCCCTTTACTTCATCATTCCACCAATCACTCCTCTTTCCTCCTGCACCCACCCTCCTATAACCACAAACTTCTGCCCCACATTCTAATACTGCATTTTTTAAAACTATTCCAAGCCATATATACCATATACTATACTGCAAATAAAAAGTGTTATTTTTGTTTCTTGTCTGTAAGCCAAAGGAAAAGTGTAAATTCTCATATAATTCTTTCTTAGTATCCAATGTTAAAACAGTAATGGTTTTGGATTTTTTGATACCTGAATTTACAGACTAAGAGCTTTTATTCTATCTCAGTGCAATTCAGGGTTCAGACCTATCTAAAAGTATACTATTACACCCTAGGATGCCACCCAAAATAGTCAATCAATATCCAGGTAACAATGTTCTGCTAGGTGAACAGGTTCATTCAGGAGGGAACTTAAGTTCCTGAGCCCAACAGGTTCGATTCCTCGATACACACCAGACTGCCCTCATGTTTACCATCACTTGCCCTCTAGCTTCCTTACCAGAAAAGAATAGACATTACAGTTTAATGTTTGACCTAAATTTAAGAGCAGACACTGTAATTCCTAAAAATATCTAGCTAATCAGCTTCCTGAAACATATAAAGGAGTATACTCACGCTCACAAAGTGATGGAATAGATGAATAGTTTTGGAACTGGAAAAATGACCTCTCCAGGATATATTCAGGGTTTATCTGCTCCACACGTAACAAGTTCAGCACCATGTTATATGTCAGGTGGAAGGCAGAATTGATGGGATCAGCTTTGCCCTAAGTGATTAAACAGATTCAACTGAAGGTAGGATGAAAAAGAATATAGTTATTTTTCAAACAGTATGTACAATAACACTATGCTTATTACACCAGTTAAAATAATATGGCCAAACTGTAATAAATTTAAAGGTCTCTGCTTGCTTTTCACCTAGTTATATACTAAGTATTTTAAATACCAAAGTACAGTATGCTTAAATAACTCAGTGAAAAGATGAAAGAAGTGTGGGTTATGGAACTGAACCATGCAAAAAGCACAAACAGTACACATGATGTGGCTATTCATGAGAAGGATGGAAAACTGTACTTAATCTGGGAAGAAGAGAAACATAAGTACATTAGATGCATTCCACAGACCACATCATAAATTACATAGTCATAAGCCATAAGTCATACCATACTTCGAAAATTATCACAATGTAATAAATAATCTAGAAAAAGCGAGATATACAGATCTGGTCAGGAAAAAGGAACAGAAAAAATCAACTAGATTTCCTCAGACAAAGAGCTCTTTAATAATCACAAGTGTCCCCTGTTAAGGAGAGAGAGAAACAGGACATAATCATGAAGTATTCCTCAGCATGGAATATACAATACATAAATGAATGTTCTGTCCTTGTGAAAAACTAGACACACCCTTAGAATATATTTAGTACTTTATTGTATTCAGAAAGAAAAAATGGTAATATATAAATAACATACTTGCACCAAATTCTTTACAACTGAAGTATTAAGCTTCTCATCAACCATCATTATAACAATACCCTTGTCGTCCTTTCCTCGTCGACCTGCACGGCCAGACATCTGGATGTATTCTCCTGAAGTTAGCTAAAATAAAGAATAATAATGGAGGTTATTAATTACCCTGCCTCGGTGGGAGACGGCCGACTTGTTGAAAAAAAAAAAAAAAAAATTAATTACAATATCATGTCTTCATGCAAGACACCTATATCATATTTAGTCTGCATAAAATAAGTTATTCTCCATAGGGAAGTGGAACAGAATTCTTCCTCTGTAAGCCATGTGTGTTATAAGAGGCGACTAAAATGCCAGGAGCAAGGGGCTAGTAACCCCTTCTCCTGTACATATTACTAAATTTAAAAGGCAAAACTTTCATTTTTCCTTTTGGGGCACCCCACCTCAGTGGGATATGGCTGGTGCGTTGAAAGAAAGAAATATGGAAATTCTGATAAGCTTACTTGACTGAAGTCAACACATCAAAGTTCGATACCATAGAAAATAAGGATGAAATGGGTTTACTGAGTTATAGTTTTCTTCCCATAATAATGACCATTACTGAAGAAATAAAGGAAGAAGTGTCCTTACAACTAGGAATAACTTCTAGAACAATCCTTTATATATTATTCCCTTTCATTTTCAGGGAGGACTTGTGTGAAGTGTAATAATAGTTGCATTTCTAAAAATGATGAAAATGAACAATTTATGTACAGTATTATTATGGCAGTTTATCCAAAGCAGAAACGAGCTGAAATAAATGGAATTGCAAACCTTAACTATTCTAGTCAACTGGCATTGCAATAGAAATTCAATAAAATATAGTAAGCAAATACAGGTCCACATTCCTTTATCCGAAATTCTGAAATTCAAAAAGTTCCGAAAACCAAAGTTTTTTTCATGGAGTGTGGAGCTTCAGTCATCTTTACATAATTCCAACGCTGCCAGTTGTGTCTCAGCGCTTGTAGTGTTCACATGTGTGTCTGCTGTTCGCTGATATTTCATTTTTGTTTTTTATTTTGTGACTGTGTTTAATTTCACTGTGAAAATGTCAAAAAGAGCTGCAGATACCCCTATGGGTAACAGTGAGAAAAAGAAAAAGAAGCATCTGATGTTATCAATAACGTAGAAAGTAGTTACTGCAGAAGCTTGATCGTGGTGTGTCAGTGCAGCGTCTTAATGAAGAACATGGTGTTGGAAGTACCACTGTTTATGATTTAAAGAAACAGAAACACAAGTTACTGAAGTATTAGTGACAGTGATGACCAAAAACTAATGAAAAATAATTATCCCATTATTTCATTTATCAATAAATTACTCTATAAATAAGCCATAGTAGTATTTGTAGTCTTTATTTATCCCACTTAGTGTAAGTATTCATACATTTTTGCTGCAGTGTTAATGTTTGATTATGGGGTGCTGCCCTAAACCCCACCTTCATTCTGAAATTCAAAAAATTCTGAAATTCGAAACACTACTGGCCCCAAGGGTTTCATATAAAGGAATGTGGACCTGTATACACAAATGTCAGAAATCAGCAAGCCTACACCATTATATAGTGATATTTACCTATACATAATTTTATAATTAAATTATGGTACGAAATGTGTCCATGTTGGTTAAAAATATTATAGTTTTACTAAACTATCAAAGAATAGTGAAAAAAGTAGATACTTGACTAAGATATATTCTTTGATAAAATTGTAGTCCAGGAAGTGTTGAAAATAACCTGTGCTTACCCAACGGAAATCCTGTCCATCAAACTTGCGTACATTAGTGAAGAGTACAGTTCTGGCAGGCATATTGAGACCCATGGCAAATGTTTCGGTGGCAAACAGGGCCTTCACCAAACCCTCGCCAAAGAGAATCTCTATCGTCTCCTTGATAATAGGTAGTAAGCCTAAAAATTTAAAATTAAGAATGTTGTAAATACAATAACCAATTTATTTACTATACAATACAATAATTTTGATGTATAAAACAAACAAGATATTATTTATATTATGACAATATACCAATTCTCTCTAAATCACAACAGTACTCTATATAGTAAGTTTTTAGGTAGCATATTTCAGTAATTGCATCAATAAAAATTCATTGCAATTTCTTACAAACATTCTCTTAACAGCTCTTACAGAATGAGTCAAATTCAGTCATTTACCCACCTCCATGATGAATGCCTATCCCTCGTCTTAACAAGGGTAGAACTGAAACCACCTGTGGTAACTGTCTATCCTCCTCAGAGAGGACTGCTATTGCATTGTTGAACACTTCATCCACCAACAATTTCTCTTCTGCTAAATTGAAATCAAGCTTGGACATTTGGAGAGCATACGCTTCACATTCCTTTTTTGAGAAACTGAAGATGATAACTGGTGCAAAGTTGCGCTCCATGATCATTTTTACAAGTTTATAGCAATCGGAACTATCCTTGACCCCACCTTTCTTTCCTCGTAAGCTTGACTGGTATGGGATAAAATTCATAAAAATATTATTATATAATAAATGAAGAACTAAAATTTTTGCAGGTGGGAGAGATTAGGTAATCATCTTAGGACAATTATTGTAGTGTATATCAATGTTCTGGTGATGAATTCATCCCCATAATTAGTGTTTATTTCCTGAACATGATATAATAATATATAAACTATAATATATAACACAACATTAGCAAAACGTTGAAAAGCTCAAAAATTATATAAACAAACCTGTAAAAGATTATGATATATGAGGCACTGCAAGGCAGAAAACACCAGCTCCACATTCACACAATGGAGAAAAATGCAGGCATTGGGGAGATAGGAGCTATGACTCTTAAGTTAGCATACTTTGTTATGGGACTCTGATCCTAGCTTACAGATTAAAAAGACAATATCTACACACATCCACAAATAGACACTTCATATCTCCTGTATGAATCTGGTAGTTAGTCTCAAAGACAAACCACAATACTGAATATCAACGGAAAGCTGAACTCACAAAAAAAAAAAAAAATTAGCTATAATTATTTCCTCAGAACAAGAGCCCTTCAATAATGACAAATGTCCCTTGCTAAGGAGAGAGAGAAATAGGACATAACCAGTAACACTGGTGTTAGCAACACTAGTGTGATTAACACTGGTGTGAGTGACACTGTTACCTTCTATATCCCTATCAGCCTTCCCTCTGCTTTCCTTCTTCTTTATTTCCATCCCTCCCCCTTTATTACCTTCTCCATATTTTATCCTCTACATCCCTCTTTATCTTCCTCTCTTGTCTATCTCCTTCCTCCATGCCCCTTCATTTGCTGTGTTTCACACTTTTTTCCACTCTCCCTTCCTTCAGCCTCCAAGATGCTGAGTAAATTTTCTTGACTTATTTTTGGGGAAAAAAAATAGCATTATCTACGTCATACAACATGGTATCTTTTTGTAAGTGATCATTTTTTTTTTTTGTACAGTACTGTGTTTAGACTTGGGTCCCATAACCAAGTCTAAACACAGTAATATACAAATTTATAAATATTCCAAAATCCAAAGCACTTCCTGTCCCAAGCACCTCTGATAAAGGATTCTCATATTTAAGTAAATCCTAGGTAGTAGGTTGGTAGACAGTAACCACCCAGGGAGGTACTACCATCTTCCCAAGTGAGTGTAAAACAGAAACATGTACAGGAAGGCCCCGCTTTACGGCGTTTCACTTTACGGCGTTCCGCTAATACGGACATTTCAAATTATGACCAAAACTCACTATACGGCTCCCCCCACCTGACTTTCTAATACGGTCACCGTGCCCCACCCTGTTTGTTTACATTCTCCATGAGCTCAGTAAGCACTAAGTCTCTCCATTTTGTCTGGAAACTCCAAAATTTCAAATGTTTTTAAAAGTTATTTCATATTTTATATATACTCTGATAATTATACTTATGTATACCTGTACCTAAATAAACTTACATACATCGAGTCATTTAAATGTCGTATATTACGTTAATATACACATTTTCATTAATCCATCCATGATATTTTTTTCAAAATTATATAATAAACAACGATGCATAACATATAAATAAGATAAATACACCCCATAGTAGAATAAATAAACATAAATGTGAGATGTGAGCAGACGACTTCCACAAGTGACGCCATAATAACAATACTCACCGAGTCTCATTAAATGTCGTATATTACGGTAATATACACATTTTCATTAATCCATCCATGAAAATTTTTTCAAATTATATAATAAACACGATACATAACATAAAAAGATGATAAATACACCCCACAATAGAATAAATAAACATAAATATAAGATGTGGGAGCCACATAACTTGTACAAGTGACGCCAAGAATAACATTTTCTCTAATCTAACATAAGAGTAAATGTGTTTTCTGGGGGTAACTGTAGAAAATTTATTCCTTTCGTATTTTATGTAAGTAAGTTTATTCAGGTATACACAAATACAGTTACATAGATTATCATACATAACAACATACGTGTAGAGAACCTAGGATAACCCAAAAAAGTCAGTGTGACTTATTTCCATTGCCTTCACTCAGAGCTTCATTTTTTCTCAAAATGATGTTACATGAGAATGGAGTGTTCTTCTTTATTAATTTTTACTGTATCAATGTAGAGACAACCTGTACACAATGTAACTTGTACACAAACCAGACGTGTACACTTCGTTTGTTTACAAAACTTACCTTCGCCTGGTTTGTTTACATAACTGCGCCTGCCCCCTCTCATGTATTCATTCTTTCTCTCTCTCATTTATTCGTTTTATCTCATTTACTTACTCCTGACCCTACATTAAGACTACAAATATTTTAAGGTAAGTAATGAGTGAACTGTATATACATTTTATCGCTCTGGGATGCTTAAATATCATAGAATAGTATGTGTGGGTGGGGTGGCCTGGTGAGGCTATTACAATACATACCACACTTGATTTCTTACAATAAATACTACTTGTCTCACCCTAGATTAAGACTATAAATATTTTAAGGTAAGTAATGAGTGCACTATGTTTTGTATTGTACTTTTTTATTGTTTTTTGATGCCTGGTTCTATTGCTAACTTAATATATGTTAGTGTAAACTTGTTATCTAGTGTTTGTATGCATTTTTAAGTGGAAAAAAAGGGTGTTCCACTTTACGGCGGTTTCCGCTTTACGGCGGTAGCCTGGAACCTAACCCGCCGTATAAGTGGGGCCTTCCTGTATTTGTTTTATGTGATTGTAGAATTGCTGGTGTCTTTTTTCTCTCATAAACATGCAAGGTTTCAGGTATGTCTTGCTACTTCTACTTACACTTAAGTCACACTATACATGTATGTACAGGCATATACTGTATATACATACCCCACCGGGTTTTCTTCTTGTTCATTTCTGCTTATCTCCATGGGGAAGTGGAACAGAATTCTTCCTCCGTAAGCCATGTGTGTCATAAGAGGCGACTAAAATGTCAGAAGCAAGGAGCTAGTAACCCCTTCTCCTGTATACATTACTAATTTAAAAAGAGAAACGTTTATCTTTTTTTTTAGGTCACCCTGCCGTGGTGGGATGCAGCAAGAACTGCAGTTTTACTTTTTTTTTGTTGCTAACATGAATTTAGATTTTGTAAAAAGAGCCATAAAGGAAGGTGGTGGTAAATGGTAGAGGCTTCAGCATTCAGCAAGTGTTTGCAAAACTGGAGCTAGTAGTTACACAATTTTTAGAGGTTGACTTGCAGTTGGAGTGTGAGCAAAGTATCAAGCATTGGTTAGCTGGACTCAAAGTCCTGGAGGTGGGGTGGGAAGGTGTCAGTTCAGAGGGTCATCTGAGTTGTGATGTTAGCAAACTACGGGCAAGATAGCAGTTGAATGATATTAAATGTTTTATTGTTTTCTTTTTGATGGGGAGGAGGGGAGAGTCTTATATTCCTGTAGGAGACTTCCACTAAGGCAAAAAAACAAAATACTATATATAAATATATCTATGTATATACCTTATAGGTAGTAGGTTGGTAGACAGCAACCACCCAGGGAGGTGCTACCGTCCTGCCAAGTGAGTGTAAAACAAAAGCCTGTTTACCTGGAGTTTACCTGGAGAGAGTTTTACATGATGGTAGGATTGCTGGTGTCCTTTTTTCTGTCTCATGAACATGCAAAATTTCAGGTACGTCTTGCTACTTCTACTTACACTCAGGTCACACTACACATACATGTACAAGCGTATATATACATACCCCTCTGGGTTTTCTTCTATTTTCTTTCTAGTTCTTGTTCTTGTTTATTTCCTCTTATCTCCATGGGGAAGTGGAACAGAATTCTTCCTCCGTAGGCCATGCGTGTTGTAAGAGGCGACTAAAATGCCGGGAGCAAGGGGCTAGTAACCCCTTCTCCTGTATATATTACTAAATTTGAAAGGAGAAACTTTGGTTTTTTCTTTTGGGCCACCCCGCCTCGGTGGGATACGGCCGGTGTGTTGAAAGAAAGAAAGGATTGCTGGTGTCTTTTTTTCTGTTTCATAAACATGCAAGATTTCAGGTACGTCTTGCTACTTCTACTTACACTTAGGTCACACTGCACATACATGTACAAGCATATATATACATACCCCTCTAGGTTTTCTTCTATTTTCTTTCTAGTTCTTGTTCTTGTCTATTTCCTCTTATCTCCATGGGGAAGTGGATCAGAATTCTTCCTCCATAAGCCATGCGTGTTGTAAGAGGCGACTAAAATGCCAGTAGCAAGGGGCTAGTAACCCCTTCTCCTGTATATATTACTAAATGTAAAAGGAGAAACTTTCGTTTTTCCTTTTGGACCACCCCGCCTCGGTGGGATACAACCGGTGTGTTGAAAGAAAGAATATATATATGTATATATCTTATAGGTAGTAGGTTGGTAAACAGCAACCACCCAGGAAGGCACTACCGTCCTACCAAGTGAGTGTAAAACGAAAGCCTGTAATTGTTTTCATTATGGTAGGATTGCTGATGTCCTTTTCTCTGTCTCATAAACATGCAAGATTTCAGGTACATCTTGCTACTTCTACTTACGCTTAGGTCACACTACACATACATGTACAAGCATATATATACACACTCCTCTGGGTTTTCTGCTATTTTCTTTCTGGTTCTTGTTCTTGTTTATTTCCTCTTATCTCCATGGGAAAGTGGAACAGAATTCTCCCTCCATAAGCCATGCGTGTTGTAAGAGGCGGCTAAAATGCCGGGGGCAAGGGGCTAGTAACCCCTTCTCTTGTATAAATTACTAAATTTAAAAAGAGAAACTTTCATTTTTCTTTTTGGGCCACCCTGCCTTGGTGGAATACAGCCAGTTTGTTGAGAAAAAAAAATGTATATACCTGTTCAGGAGCATTCTGCAAAACAGTCATAGCAGTATTGAAATTATCTTCTCTGAACTTGCCAGTTTCATCAACAGCTAGGTAGATTCCTTCACCCCCGGCTGGGAAGATATAATGTTGGAGGGGAGTGGGTCGGTAATCTGTGTAGACCACATGACATGGCTGATGGTGAAGATAACACACCCACTGGGCAAACTGAAAATGACATTTAACAACTCTTACGATCCCACAACAGAACATACTGCTATGTGAAGCAATCTTATACAGAACATAAGAGAATAAATACAGCTCACAGCTAACTCAAATTGGCAGATAAAACCAGATGATGTTTTGGTCTGTCCTGTACTTGAGTTAGTTGTGAATTGCTCCAGCCAAGTTATTTTGATTCCATTCTTCTGAATATGATAGTAAATAAATAAATCATGCACACACACACATGATGGGGGGACACAAACTATGAGAGTTTAACGGAACTGGACCTAATGACACTGCAGGACAAAAGAACCAGGGGGACACAACTACAACGTACAAAATAATCAAAGAAAATGATAAGGTAAACATTGATAGGCTGTTTGAGAGGCAAGAAAATGGAACTCAAAGATACTGTTGGAAGTTAAAGGCATAGGTGAGCCACAGGGATGTTAGGAAGTATTTCTGAAATCTCAGAGTGGTCAGAAAATGGAATGATCTTGGTGAGGAAGTTGTTAAGGTAGGCTCCATTCATAGTTTTAAGAGCAAATACAATAGAGCCCACAAGGATAGGGAGGAATCTGAAAAGGGGCAAGTTGACCCCTGTAACACAATAGGTGAGTACATACATCACATACCTTTAAATCATTCCTTTGTTATATTCAAAATATAATAATACAATTTTTTTACTTGAAAAAGAATACAGAATTAATCAGCTTAAGAAAATATTACTAAAAATTTATTAAGCTGATTAATTCTGTATTCTTTTTTCAAGGAAAAAAAAAAAGGTATTATTATATTTTGAATATATCAAAGGAATGATTTAAAGGTATATGATGTATGTACTTGTCTATTGTGGTTATAGGGGTCAACTTGCCCCTTTTCAGATTTTCTCCTTATCCTTGTGGGCTCTATCGTATTTGCTCTTAAAACTATGTATGGAACCTACCTTAACAACTTCCTCGCCAAGATCAACCCATTTTCTGACCACTCTGAGACTGCAGAAATGTACTCACACTACTTCAAATATTAATTTTAATAAACTTTAACTTTTAAATATTTTATTTATTAATGGAAGCAATATACTGTATTGAAAAAACACTGAATACCATATGTTTGAGAAACTTTAAAATTATAAGTACTGTACTGCATATTTCATTATTTTATTCATGGGGAAATGTTAAATGTGCCACACCCACTGCTTTACCAGTCACACCTGTGCACTGTCACAATGTAAAATTTAGTGCTGCTAGCCTCAACAGTAGTTTTTCCTTTCAAAATCATGCATATCCTACAGCAAGTACAGTAATTTGAAAACTACTATTTGAACTTTTAAAAAATACTCAGCAGTACTAGAGTTTGTGACCACATTCACAGAAGACTTCATGTGTGGCACATATAGTAATCCTGAATGGGAAATCAATTACTAAATACGTAGCACATCCCAAAGTTATAAAAGAAAAGTTTTATACAAGTCATCAAGGAAACTCGTATTTACATTTTACTAACCTGACTTGCATTAGGAATAGTTGCAGAAAGAAAGACAAAGTGAACCGTAGGAGGCAGAAGGATAATGGTTTCTTCCCAAACGTATCCTCTTTCTTTGTCTCTCATGTAGTGTATCTCATCAAATATAACCCAACCAGCTTCTCGTGTTACTTCTGAGCCTCGATAAAGCATTGACCGTAAAATTTCTGTGGTCATGATGAGGCAAGAGGCATTTGGATTGATAGTGACATCCCCAGTTAACAAACCCACATCAGTAAACTCATCACTGAAATCTCTGTACTTCTGATTGCTCAAAGCCTTGATGGGTGTGGTATAGATTACTCTCTGCTTGTTCTGTAAACACATGGCAATCGAATATTCAGCAACTACAGTTTTACCGGCTGATGTGTGAGCAGACACCAACACTGATTGATTATTATCAATACACAATATGGCTTCTTTTTGGAAAGGGTCCAAAATAAATTGGTATGACTTTGCTGGCTTCTCTTTGGGGGGCTGAAGTGGAACATACATTTCTCCTGGGGGTACAGCCACTTCGTGTGTACATGCTTCAAAAGTTTCTATTATGTGGACTGCTATTCTTGGTAAATCCTCTATTAATCTGGAAAGAATATAAATGTGCAGTTATAGAAGATGCATAATCAAGGAAAGTGTTTACAACAAATTACCAGGGCATGCTGGTTGTTTATATTAGGGCACTACTTTAGCACCCACTACAAAAAAAAATCATTACCAATACACTGTGCATAATTTAGTATGCTTATGAGTGAGTATATAAGGTCCTCGGCATCTGTCCTAAGGTTAACCAGTTCGTAGACACTTCATTATACAATAAAAATCTTAAGCGTGCATTGCAAACTATGCCAACGGTATGTGGCATACTGGTCCCACCTCTCAACTTACTGCTTGCTAAGTTCACTCTCCATGAACTCTTGTGCCTGTTCATAAAATTATATATGAAACCTGCCTCTGCCATTTCTTCATTAAGGTCACTCCACTTCCCAATCACCCTCAGACTGAAGAAATGGCTCCTGACATCCCTGTGGATCACATGTGTTTAACTTCCAGCTGTGCCCCTAAGTACCCGTTTCCTGCCTCTCAAACAGCCTATCCCTGTTTACCCTATCAATTCTTCTGTGCACCGTATTTTGTATGTTGTTATTTCTCTCCTGGTTCTTCTGTATTTCAATGTCATTATATTAAATATCATTATCCTCCCCTCACTGTCATTACAGTATCATACCCCTTAGTTCTGAAATTAATCTCAGTACATTTTCATAACATGCTTTCTCAGGTGTGGTTTCCATGCTGCTACTCCATACTCCAAGATGGGCCTGGTATGTCATTTAAGGGGCCTGGAGAATGACTTATACTAACACTTTTACCATCACTCACTCTATCAATGTCATACTAGAGCCACATCAATACTATAATACTACTGCAAATATCCCCACCTCTCCTTCATAGTGCAAGAACTGTACTTCCCACCTCCAGGACTTAAGTCTGGCTAACTGGTTTCCCTTCATAAGTTTTATCTTTGCTTACACTCCAACATCACATCAAGTTATAAAAACCACTTGCCTCCATTCACTTCTACACATATTTAACACACCCACACATGCCTGCTGGAAGTCCAAGCCTCTTGCAAAAACCTCTTTTACCCCCTCCCTCCAACCTTTCCTAGGGCAACCACTACCCTGCCTTCCCTCCACTACAAATTTATACACCCTCCAAGTTATCCTATTTTACTCCACCCTCTCTAAACATCCAAACCACCTCAACAACCCTTCCTCAGCCCTATGGATAATACTTTTAATAATGCTGCACCTCCTCCTAATCTTTAAGTTATGAATTCTCTGCATAACATTTACACCATACATTGTCCTCAAACATGACATCACTGACTCAAGCCTCTTCCTTACTGTAACATTCACCACCCATGCTTCATAACCATATAAGAGTTACCTGGAGAGGGTTTCTGGGGTCAATGCCCCATGGCCCAGTCCGAGACTAGGCCTTGTACCACTGTACTCTCGTACATTTCCCTTTTTGTCTCCACAGAGGCCTCAATGCACCACTTACCTTTTTCCCCCCTCATTAATTCTATGGTTCAACTCGTCTTTCATAAGCCCATCCCAAATATCTGTACAATTCACTTCCTCTATATTCCCTCCTTCCAATCTGATATCCAAGATTTCATTACCTAAATTTTTTGTTGTCCTCATTGCCTTGCTCTTTCTTTTGTTCGCTTTTAATTTTCCTCCCAAATTCATCCACCAACCTTTGCAACTTCTCTTCAGAATCTCCCAGGTGTAATCAAGTCTTACACTGTACATCAGAATACTAGAAGACAGAGCCAATTACAATGACAAATTCATACAGCATAATGAGCACACTAAACAGGTAACAAAAATCTTTCTTTTACTGCACCAACCTCAGCTCAGACTGTGTTGTCTCAATTTGTGAGCGGCGCTTCTTTACAACTGTTCCTTTGATCTTGCTGTCACTTTCAGCTGCTCGTTTTTTTAATAACTGTTTGAGTTCCTCAGTAGCTCTGTAAATCATTAAAAAGTAGTTAATTATAAAAGCAACATTTACCCAAGATGAACTGCATAAAATCATCAAAGTATCCTAACAAGATGTGGCATCTCTGTGCAGGGCTATAACTGTAACCAGCTACTTAATGCAATAGTACAACTTTATTTTCAGACAGAGATGTTGAACCAAGAAAGCAGGTCTAATCCCAAATTTTTTTATTCTGTAATAAAGGCGACTACTGACGTTTCATCATAATTTACACATGTTGGCTATGATGAAAGTGGGATAGTCATCGGTAGTGTTGTCTATGATTTTTCCCTGCTATGAAAAAAGCTATTACAGTGGACCCCCGCATAGCGACTTTAATCCGTGCAAGAGGGCTGATTGTTATGCGAAATGTTCGGTATGCGAATGAATTTTCCCCATAAGAAATAATGGAAATCAAATTAATCCGTGCAAGACACCCAAAAGTATGAAAAAAAAAATTTTACCACATGAAATATACATTTTCCTACACACAAAGAGAAGGATACATGCACAATAGTAGAGTAGTACATGCACAATATATATTGTGCATGTACTACTCTACTAAATGAAGAATAAATGACACTTACCTTTATTGAAGATGCAGCAATGACTGATGAGACACTGTGTCCTGGGAGTGCCTTTTCCTCCTGAGTACTGTAGGTCCTGTTTGGCATTTTCTTCCAGAACAGGCCTTATCACACTGTGTATGCCACTACGATTCTTAAATTTCTCAAACCAACCTTTGCTGGCTTTAAATTCACCAATATGAGCACTAGTTCCAGGCATTTTTCCCTGTTCACCTGGGTGTTAGTCGACTGGTGTGGGTTGCATCCTGGGGGACAAGATTAAGGACCCCAATGGAAATAAGTTAGACAGTCTTCGATGACACTGACTTTTTTGGGTTATCCTGGGTGGCAAATCCTCTGGGGTTAATTGTTTCTTGGTATTCTCAATAAGCCACACCAACAACGGTGCTACAGCAGCAGCAGCAGCTGACGGTGGTACAACAGCAGCAGACGATGCTACAGCAGCAACAGACGATGCTACAGAAGCAACAGATGATGCTACAGCAGCAGCAGACGATGCTACAGCAGCAACAGACGATACTACAGCAGCAGCAGACGATGCTACAGCAGCAGCAGACGATGCTACAGCAGCAGCAGACGATGCTACAGCAGCAGCAGACGATGCTACAGCAGCAGCAGACGATGCTACAGCAGCAGCAGACGATGCTACAGCAGCAGCAGACGATGCTACAGCAGCAGCAGACGATGCTACAGCAGCAGCAGACGATGCTACAGCAGCAGCAGACGATGTTACAGCAGCAGCAGACGATGCTACAGCAGCAGCAGACGGTACTACAGCAGCAGCAGCAGCTGTACCACCAATAGTAGCGATGGTTGATTGGGGTTTATTATACAACCTGGCCAGCTCGGAGACACGCACTCCACTTTCATACTTATCAATGATCTTTTTCTTCATCTCTATAGTAATTCTCACCCTTATTGCTGTAGGGTTGGCACTAGAAGCTTTCTTGAGGCCCATGGTCACTTATTTTCCAGAAAAAATCACCAAAAACACTGTAATAATACGAAATGTTCCGATTGTATGCTTGGATGTTACCGCGGAGGCTGGCTGGTAAACAATGCCACCGGCGGAACATGTGAGTGTGGCTCGGGCCACACATTGGACGCGTCTCGGACGAAGAGCGGTGAGCGGGTTTTTGGGCGGTATGCGAGGCAAAATTTTTGCGAAAAAAGCGAGCGGTATGCGGATTGTACGGTATGCGATGCGTGCAGTATGCAGGGGTCCACTGTATATTGGTCCAGATATGGTCAACTGAGGATGCACTTGTCTCAGAAATTCTTGTAGGTTTAGTTATAGTTGGAATTATTATTATAATCAAGGGGGAAGCGCTAAACCCGGAGGATTATACAGCGCCTGGGGGGGGGATGTGGAAGGCATTCAGGCTTAATTCAGGGAACTGGAGCACAGATCCAATTCCCTAAATCAAGAGCCCCTCACCAACATCAAGGAACCTTCCTTGAGGGGTTTATAGTTGGAATTAGCAAGAAATTGATCCTGTTGTTAATGAAGTCAGCTACTTGAGGATCTTCAACTTGAACAAGGTTTATGCTGAAGTCACCATCAAGTACATAATGGGTGATGTTTGTTTAAGTGCTTGTTAATTATTAGGTTTTTAGGTTGTCACTGTAAGTGGGGAGTATTAGTATGAGGTAATCCGTCGACAGCTCCAACTGCAATTGGCGTCTTTAAATTTTTGGTTTTAAAATTAGCAAAATATATATTCATCATATTTATCCCTGGTCCTTGTAGAGTTACTACATGTTAATTCATTCATTCATATACATCAAAACTGTAATTATCCTCTACCAAATTTGCTAAAGCCATATAGCATGAACTAGTTGAATATTCAATTTTCTTCTATTCACTGTAACTCACCTAATGACCATATGTAAAATTACTGCACTGTTATTACCTTAATAATCTTAAGTTAGTCTTAAGCTTGCCCAAAATGCTCTGCATATAAAGTGGCTTTTGGCATATTCACCAAATTGTTATACTCCTTTGTACAAACATGTATCATTGTTTAGTTAATCTTAAGTTAATTTTTAAGCCTGCCCATAATGCTCTGCATACAAGGGGCTTTGGCATGCTGCACTTTAAAAATTGTATTCCTTGTACTTCTCTGTATCATGTTCAAATTAATAAATAAATAAATAAATGCTAAAATAAACTTGTTGTTGTTGTTGTTGTTGTTATTGTTGCTGTAGATTTGCAATACCTCCTCCCATTTGATCAGACCTACAATTATGTATGACTGTGTACCCAGGTAAGGCAAATAATGTCCTGTCATGTTTAACCCAGGTTAGCAAGTTTATTTAGGTACAGGTACATATTAAGTACAATTATCATAAATAATCTAACATATTGCAATAAAATCACAGTCAGGTGATCTTAACAATGCAAGACAAGCTACAGGGAAAAGAAATCTTCAGCACAAGATCATTCACACATCTCTGTGCATCACCAAGAGCTGTGAAACATTGCAAGACTTCAACACTGAACAGCTCCCAATGATGCACAGAGACATGTTAAAGAGCTTGAGCTGAAGACTGCCATTCCCTGTTTGTCTTGCATAGTTTAACATGTGTAAATTACCTAGAATAACCTCAAAAAAAAAAGTCTTAAGTGACCTATTTCCACATTTCAGCACAAATAAAAAGACAAGTTAGCATTTAAAGAATCAAGGAGAGCTAAAAGGTCATCACAAGGTTTACTCAGGGATCAAATACTGTAACTAAATACTAATATCTTCTTGGCATTGCTGAGAACAAGGGCTCCAGTGGAAATAATAATAATAATCTTTATTTCCACAAGTTCATGATACAACTTATACAAACCTAGCTGAGATCAATGACATACTATATAGAAAGCTCCTTCTTATGGATAGCATTTCGGGCAAATTCGGTTAATTCTATCCCCAGGATGCGACCCACACCAGTCAACTAACAGCCACGTACCTATTTATTGCTGAGTAGGGACAGCAGGTGCCTTAAAGAAAAATGCCCAAATGTTTCTACCCATACCAGGGATCAAACCACGGACTTTAATATGTGAGTCAAGTTGCTACCAATTGAGCTCCAGGACACTCTGATTTTTTGAGTTATCCAAGGTAATTTACACTGTATGATACTTATGCCCTTTGTTCACCTTCTGTAAAGGGTCTGTTGTTTAATGTATAATTTTGGCTTTTTCACTTAATATTATATTATTTGTATCCTTATTAGTAGTAAAAATAAGGATGGTTTACTTTATAATATTATCTGGCCATAAATTGCTTAGTTTTGTACATAGGTAGGATGTTTAAATAGTCTAAACTGCAGGGACAGTGTTAAGCACCAGCAAACAATTTGAGTTGCTCAAACCCTTCTCAGACAGAGTTAAGGAAATAAGTCACTCTGTCTGACTTTTTTGGGTTATCCTAGGTTCTCTACACATATGCTGCTATGTATGATAATTCTATGTAACTGTATTTGTGTATACCTGAATAAACTTACTTACTTACTTACTTATAAGGTTGGCTGGTAAAGTGATACCTTGCTCAGTTCACAACTTCCCTTACTAGAGGAAGCATCTACTGGAGAAACTGGCTTTTAGCCACTTGACATTTCTTTAGAAGTCACCAGTGTCTTGGAAGCCCTTTACTAGGGTATAGCACGGCCTGAGGAGGTGTAAGAACTCTTGACGAAATTAGAAAAGAGTTTAAAGAGTAAGTGCTATGTTTTGATGGACTCTGATATAGAAAAAAGTTTGAGGAGGAATGGTCCCCTTGGAAGAACTCTTATTTGCGTCAGTGTCATTTAGGCTTGTAAATGCCTGTCTCTGTACTTTTATATGTATGTATATATATATATCTTTTGACTCCTCATGAGGGAGTCAAGAAACTGTCTAGTGCAAGTTACAATTATTTAATGTATTAAAAGTGTGATAATAAGGGTACTGATATAAATTTTACTCATAGTGATTACAATGAGAAATTCCATTTTAAAAATTGCTTTAAAGAGTGAATTGTGTATGATGACCCTTATGCGATAATCTTGTTCTTTTTATAAGTTTGTTACAAGGAACACTAAAACAAAATGGTCTAGAGGCTATAATCGTAACAATGATAACTGCACTTATATGTACATGTGCCTAAATATATTTACTTACTAGCAGTTTTTGCCCAACTTGTTTGTAATTAGTAATCACTGCGATAAGACTGATTTCAATCAGGTGCAATGTTTGCATCAAGTTTATTTAGGTGCAGGTACAGCACATGAGTACAAATACCATACATTGTGTATTATTATTATAACCAAAACCAAACGTTAAGCCCGGTGGCCTGGTGGCTAAAGCTCCCGCTTCACACACGGAGGGCCCGGGTTCGATTCCCGGCAGGTGGAAACATTTTGATACGTTTCCTCACACCTGTTGTCCTGTTCACCTAGCAGCAAATAGGTACCTGGGTGTTAGTCGACTGGTGTGGGTCGCATCCTGGGGGACAAGATTAAGGACCCCAATGGAAATAAGTTAGACAGTCCTCGATGACGCACTGACTTTCTTGGGTTATCCTGAGTGGCTGACCCTCCGGGGTTAAAAATCCGAACGAAATCTTATCTTATCACTAGGGAACTATACACGTTAAACAAAACTTATTTCCATGAACTAGGAGGTAGATTTTTTTTTTTTTTTTTTTTTTTGGAAGGCTGATACGTATGGACCCCAGGAGGGCCCCAGGTATCCTACAGGACCTCTAGGTGTCCTAGAGGACCCCCAGGGGTTCTAGAGGACCTCCGTGTTCCTCATCATAGGCACAAAACATACTTCTCGTTCTCATCCTCGTCGAGGACCTCGATGTCTGGCAAGGCTTCAATCTGCTGATTGTCGTCCTCGTCCACGAAGTCAAATAAATCATCATCGAAGCACGCCATCCTTCCTGAGCCTCGTCTTGTTTACTGTTAGTACTGACTATCTACCATCGAACGTTCTTGCCAGCGAACATTCCTCCCAGCGAACCTCCTTGCCAGCGAACATTCCTCCCAGCGAACCTCCTTGCCAGCGAACATTCCTCCCAGCTAACCTCCCTGCCAGCGAATATTCTTCTCAGCTAACCTCCCTGCCAGCGAATATTCTTCCCAGCAAACATTCTTCCCAGCAAACATCCCTACCAGCCAACATCCTTCCCAGCAAACATCCCTACCAGCGAACATTCATGCAACCAGCAAACATTTTTCCCAATGAACTTTCTTCCCAGCAAACTTCCCTACCAGCGAACATTCTTCCCATTCTTTGCTATTTTTTTCCCAGCTAATATTCTTCCCAGGGAACCACCCTTCCAGTGAACATTCTTACCAACGAACCTCCACTACCAGCAAACATTCTTCCCAGCCAACCACATAAGCAAATATACTTCCCAGTGACATCTTTCTCAGAGCACCTTCTCATCAAACATTCTTCCCAGCACACCTCCAGTTTAGCAGAGAACCAGTCCTTTGAGAAATAGTTACATTCATGGGGGAGCACTAAACTCATGGGTTTCATACAGCACATGGGGAATGGGAAACATTTAGGGTCAATCCAAGAAAGCACAGGTCCAATTCCTTAGATAAAATCATGGAAGTTCCCTTCAATGGTTTAGGAAGTGCAGCATGTCAAGAGTCAATTAAGTTATTATTGATGATCCTGGCTAATCACAGCTAATGAAAACGATTAATCAAATTTAAAAGCATGCCAATCCCATATCTATCACTGACAGTAAGGTTATCATGTTAGGACTTTTAGGATGGGTTTCCTCAGGTTAGATTACATTTCTTACATTTGAACATAAGTGTCCATGAAATACTAATATTGGAGATTTTTAGGAATAAATTATTCTTGAACTCATGAGGACCACATCTGCCCAGTAACTCTTTCCTGGAACTTCCTTCCCAGCACACCTTACTAGTGCCTCCTCCCTAGAACTTCTTTCCCAGCACTGTACCATCACCTCCTTCCTATCACTTCCAGGCCAGCACATTTCCTTGGTACACTTCCTTCCTGGAACCTCTCCTTCTTAGAGCCCCCTCTTTCCTGGCACTGCCACACAGGTATAAACAAAATTATATACTAACATACAAGTTCAATGCACCAAAACTTAACTATCAGCAAATGATGTACATTTTGAGTAAAAATAATTTTGATATGCAACAGTAACCATGATTTTTAAAAAGTTGAAGAGTGCAAAAATTAGAAGGAAAGCACTTACTTGACCTGGGTCTCATTCTTAACATTGCTGGTACAGAACTGACAAACTCCATTGCGGCAAAATATTGGGAAAGCAATTTCTTAAGATCTTACAAGAGAAACATTTTCAGTCCAAACCCATCTGGAAATCTGCACCACTGGATTTTCCCTTTCATAACAATATGCTTTATAACATGTCACTTATTTTCTTTGAATTTATATCCTGTCAAATATTACATTCAGGAAAGGGAGGGGATGACCTAAAACTTTAGGGGAATGGGAGGCAATCACTGTAGATTCTAAGCACTCAGTTAAGTAAAAATAGGAGTTGGTTAAAACTCAGAGGTCATACAGTGCAAGGGAAATGGGATACAATCCAATTCAATCCAAAGAAAGGGAAAACCGGCCCACTTCATTGGATCAAGAGCCCATCACCAGCATAAAGATGCCTTCCTTTGAGGGATCAACTTCCTCATACACCTCTTCTTTGGTTAATGGGGTTAAGAAGTGGACAGTTATTTTGGTACCACCTTTTATTCTATATATTCAAATCCAGACTGAATAGATTCAGAAGTATGGAGATGGTTTTCACTCTTTTGACAGGATAGGTCACTGCAAAGCTGCTAACTCATTAATGCTTAAGTTCACACTGAAAGATGTCAATTTCAGATATAAGTTTAAGAAAGGTGGGAGGGAAAGAGAATTACATAAAGTAGTAACAAGGATCACTGCATGTCAGCAAGAATGATAATAAGATAACAGAGTACAATGGTAGTCTTTATTGAATGACAAAGAAATAACCCAAAAAAAAGTTTCTTCTGCATTTTAAGAGCTTTCATAGCTCTTAAAAAATGTATAAAAAGTAACTTGTCCTTTTACGTTACAACTTGTATACCAGTACTATAAAATTTATATTTATGAGAAATATTTGCTGAAAATTAAAACTGAAATTACTGCATTAAAAATTTTTTTTAATACAATCAAAATTACCACAAATTAAAAGGCCTGGTTATTCACCGACGTCGCCTCTCCTTTCTGCTCCTGAAAAACAAATATATACATCAGGTAACATTAAAGAAAACAGTACAGAAGAAAATATTAATACAGGTACTTATAATGTAAAAACCTAATACAGTATCTAAGTAATTAAACTCTGGTTAATACTGAGCCAGGTAATATATTAACTAGCCATGGATGATTAAATTACGGAGACTGAGGGAGGTATCCCATCTCTTACATCAATCTCTCTCTCACTTTAGAACCTATCACTACTACACCAAGCCCTCCCACCTGCAAGATATTTTGTGAAGAAAAATTCTATATGCATTATTTATTAATAAATACTGTACGTATATTGTTTCAACTCGCAAAATTGTAACACAACTGCAAATTAGGGAATAAGTGGGACCTGAACACCACGCCAGCAAGTCCTAAAACTCAGCAAGCCAGTGGATGAGTGTTATCAGAGCTAGCTGGCTGAGCAGTTAATGCCAGGATTCACTTGCCAGGGATTCAAGCCTCACCTATTCCATGATCTATTGATATTGTCTGACACCAATATCTTACTCATGTATAATATAATAGCTATTGTAAATAATTTTAATAATTATCAACGTTGAAACTATTTCAGTACAGAATATTTTTACACATTTCTATCACTAAAATGTCAGTAGCATGCACTAAAGTTTACTTGACAAGTAATATAACCCTCAGAAAAACCTGACTGAACAAGCAGTCAATAGATAAAGCTCTCCGCTGCCCCTGCTGCAAATAGAAATTCTCTCAAAACTGGTCACAGATATGCAATGGTTGGGAAACACTTACTTTCTTGGCCCTTTAACAAAGCACCATTCCACTGTGATTGTCTGGCCAAGAATCTGTGTTGAATTGAGCCCATCCAGTGCTGCTTGAGCTTCCTTGAAGGTCTCAAACTCTACTAGAGCATAACCCTGGAAAGGAAATTCAAAGAATTTATCACTGCACTTTTAATGAGTGAATTCAAACATACAACACTACACTTCTACTAAAATGCTTAACAATTCGTACTTGCTTGATGTGCTCTTGGATTATGAGTAAGGTAACATTTATAGAGGAATTCAGAGAAACCAGATAACTGGACTTAAGTCCTGGAGGTGGGAAGCAATGCCTGCACTCTAAGGGAAGGGTGGGGATGTTGCAGTTCTGAAGGTCATCTGAATTGTGATGTTTGAAAGCTTCTGGAAAGACTGCTATTGAATAAATGATGGTGAATGTATTTCCTTTTCTTGGAGAATCACCCTACCCTGGTAGGAAACAGCCATGGAAATAAATGGTATAAAATACCGACACAATGGAAATATAAACACATATGCAGTATAATGTGATCCTTTATTGACTACGTTTCGCCCAACAGTGGGCTTTTTCAAGTCACAAACAGAACTACCTGGGGTGGAAGGAACGGGAGTATTTATAGTCAGGTTCAGAAAGCTGAGGTCAGGTGGAGAATGCTGCATCTGATGATGTACCAAGTGGGGTTATAGAGTCTAAAATCTTGGGTAGCTTGGAAAGGAGATTGGATAAGTTTGTGAGCAGACCTTCTACAGTGTTCTTGTGTGGGAATGCTATCCCACATAAGAACACTGTAGAAGGTCTGCTCACAAACTTATCCAATTTCCTTTCCAAGCTACCCAAGATTTTAGACTCTATAACCCCACTCGGTACATCATCAGATGCAGCATTCTCCACCTGACCTCAGCATTCTGAACCTGACTATAAATACCCGCATTCCTTCCACCCCAGGTAGTTCTGTTTGTGACTTGAAAAAGCCCACTGTGTGGGCGAAACGTAGTCAATAAAGGATCACATTATACTGCATATGTGTTTATATTTCCAGGAAACAGCCGTGTTAAAATATATTGCAAAAAAAAATATTAGAGAAAAGTGGATAAAATATCTGGAAAGAAAAAACCTAGTGACTAGTAAACATTTCAGCTTTTGGTCTGGAAATTTCTGTACTGTTTATCAAATTTATTTAGCTATTTTAAATCAGAGAAATTATTTAAAAAAATGGCAGAAGAGAAACTAGTTTGGAAACTTCAAAATACAGTGGACCCCCGGTTAACGAACTTTTTTCATTCCAGTAGTATGTTCAGGTGCCAGTACTGACCGAATTTTTTCCCATAAGGAATATTGTGAAGTAGATTAGTCCATTTCAGACCCCCAAACATACACGTACAAACGCACTTACATAAATACACTTACATAATTGGTCACATTTGGAGGTGATCGTTAAGCGGGGGTCCACTGTATATGAATAAAAGGCACATATTATTTTGCAAGGATAAAGTGAATTGTCTAGGCAGTAGGTTGGTAGACAGCAATCGCCCAGGGAGGTACTACCGTCCTGCCAAGTGAGTGTAAAACGAAAGCCTGTAATTGTTTTACATGATGGTAGGATTGCTGGTGTCTTTTGTCTGTCTCATAAATATGCAAGATTACAGGTAAGTCTTGCTACTTCTACTTACACTTAGGTCACACTACACATACATGTACAAGCATATATATACACACCCCTCTGGGTTTTCTCCTATTTTCTTTCTAATTCTTGTTCTTGTTTATTTCCTCTTATCTCCATGGGGAAGTGGAACAGAATTCTTCCTCTGTAAGCCATGCGTGTCGTAAGAGGCGACTAAAATGCCGGGAGCAAGGGGCTAGTAACCCCTTCTCCTGTATATATTACTAAATTTAAAAGGAGAAACTTCAGTTTTTTCTTTTGGGCCACCCCACCTCAGTGGGATACGGCTGGTACGTTGAAAGAAGAAGAAGAAAGTGAATTGTCTAGGCAGTAGGTTGGTAGACAGCAATCGCCCAGGGAGGTACTACCATCCTGCCAAGTGAGTGTAAAATGGAAGCCTGTAATTGTTTTACATGATGGTAGGATTGCTGGTGTCTTTTCTCTGTCTCATAAACATGCAAGATTTCAGGTACATCTTGCTACTGCTACATGCACTTAGGTTACACTACATATGCATGAGCAAGCATATATATATACACACACACACACATCACTCTGGGTTTTCTTCCATTTTCCTACTAATGCTTGTTCTTCTTTATTTCCTCTTATCACCATGGGGAAGTGGAACAGAATTCTTCCTCCGTAAGCCATGCGTGTCATAAGAGGTGACTAAAATGCTGGGAGCATGGGGCTAGTAACCCTTTCTCCTTTATACATTACTAAATTTATAAAGAGAAACTTTTGTTTTTCTTTTTGGGCCACCCTGCCTTGGCGGGATATGGCCGGTGCATCGGAGAAAAAATGTGAATCGTGATAAGAAGAAAAAATAATTTCTAGAAGTGTCACATTATACGTAAGTGTAATAATTTGAAAAGCCCCTAGTACAAAAAGTATTTTGGGAAATGCTCTACTATTAATCTGTTTCCAGATGATGAAAAAAAATCTGCAAAATTAACAATAAAAATTAATGTCCACTCTATACAAGATGACATATTGAGCAAATTGAGTAACAGATAAGTGATGGACTGTAGCATTGATAAATGCTGTGTGATGGAAATGGAAGAAGGCAAAAAACATAGATTCTGTGAAAAAAATCTGTATTATACAGAGAAAGTTATCTACGAATTGTTAATAAAATATTATCACCAGATCACAAAAATAAAATTATGAAAAATGCATATGCTCCACTGGCTAACCATAAAATAGTTTTCATAAACATATAGATGGAGCATGTAGCTGCTCTAATGTTCAAACCTAAAAAAAAAAGAGATAGAAAAGGTCCAACGATGAGTACAAAATGAGCCAAAGCTAAAAAATATGAATTAGAATAAAAGGCTCCAAATACTGAAGTTGTCCATGCTGATTGATAGGCAGAAAAGAATATATGACAACATACACTGTTGTAAAATAATATGAAAAAGATAATGATGATTACAATACTGAGTGCTGTCAACAGGGATAACAAGAGGCCACAGAAGTAAATTAAGAAAAAATGGAACTAAATGGATAATGGGAAATTTTTCCTTTAGTGGAAAAATGGAATAATCTGAAGAGGATATAATAAATGTTACCACTGGAAATTTTTAAAAATTATATAATGAACAGGATACCATGTGCAATGCTCTGCTCTACTGCGGCAAACAGGCACTGACTTACCTTGAGGAATCCAGTCCTGCGATCTAGATTTAGATGAATGTTCTTAATCTCTCCATATTCTGAGAATCTATCATGAATATCATCCTCTTGTGCCTCTTCATGGACACCAGTAACAAAGAGAATCCAGCCCTCTACCGCTGTGTGGGAGTTCACATTATCAACTCATCATTAATATAAAAAATGTATACATATGCATTATTATTATTGCTATAATAAATTTACACAAAAATTATAATCAAGTTAGGGAAAATTATAATTAATTTAAGCAAATATCATAATCAATTTAATCAAAATTATAATGTATTAAATTAATATGGAGACACTAAGACAGTAAGATTTAAAAAATATAATTAATTTTTAAATTCAATAATATGCAAACAGATTAGAATAAAGTTAAATGATGCACTGGACAAAATAGCTGCAATAAAAGACAGTAGTACAATAAATATGTTGAAATACAGTACTGCTATAAAAAGAAATTACAAGGCTTTATAATATCATTACTTCAAATATAAGGTAAATTCTGAACAGATTCTGATCTTCAGGAAGGAATATTAAGTTTTTTAAGATCTCCTTGACCAGCCTGACCGTGGCACCTGTCAGACTGATCTGCAAGCATCAGCACCCTGGCTAGTCAGACTGTCAGATAGGTGGTCTGATCACTGAAATGAGATAGCATTTACTAACATCTCTGTGGTCCAGGTTCATCATCTGCATCATCTACCTCCATGCCCTCATAAAGGATGTCTTGTCTGTCTGTGCGATCATCACCACCAAATCCACGGCCCTTTCGCTTTTTAGCCCTCTCCTTGAGTTTGACCAAGCCTTCTGAAAATAAACCGATATTCTGATATAAATACTATTTATTTATACAAAGCATTCATGTAAATAATATTGTAGTTAGACCTCTCAGAGAAAATGTTTTGATGCCAGTGAGGGGCTCTTTATCTAAGGCATTGAACCAGTCTTCCCCTTCCTTGGATCAAGCTTGATTGCCCCCAATTCCCCATGGTTTCAATGTTTCTCAATAATAATAATTATAATAAAAAATATAATACTATACTAATATTACTACTACAAATAATAATAATGATAAATGTACTATATTCAGATTAAACCAAATCTACAAATAACATTCTGTATCATTTCACTAATATGAAAACTGTTCATCAGTATTTTTTGTCTTTTAATACTCATCAGTCATTCTTTATTTGCACCCAAGTACCACAGATCAACAATTCAATGATTCCAAGAGAATGCAACATTTGCTGAGTTTATTACAATATAATCACTTAGCAAAGAATCATGAAGGCAATATGTCAGGGGTCTCCACAAGCTGGGGGCTTTTTTAGTTCCATCACAGGCACAAGAAATAAAAAAGCATTCTTTGGATTATTAACTCAAAATCCACAAAAGCTAAGTGGTGTTGCTTATTTCTGTTTGGGTTTTTCCCAGTCCTTTCCAAGGATAAGGCCGATAAAGCAACCAACACTTAGATACCCATTTGCTGTGGAAGCTGAAAAACCAACAGCTGATAAAAAGATACTATGGCAAGCTGGAAGCTTTTATTGAGCAGAAGCGCAAGGCAAAGAGGTAAAAAAAAAAAAATGATTCTCAGGTCTGACCATATGTCTTGCCCTGCCCAGGATTAAACTGAAGTCCTTGTAAGCCTAAGCTCACAAACTGAGGAACCAGAGTTCGGTCCCTAGACAAGTGGAAATATTGGGTATGTTTCCTTACACCAGCTGGCACTGATCAGTACCTGGATGTCAGCTGACTGTTGTGGGTCATGTACTGTGGGAAAGGACTAGAGGACTCCAATGGAATTCAACTAATCTGAAGATAGAGGCTTTAATGAGTTATCCAGGGTTACTAACCATCTAGGTTAATAATCCAAATAATTTTTTCCTCAATGAGCTATGCAAGCTAACACTGTATATCGTAAATGTACAATATTTATTATTCATTTGGAGAAATTTGTCATCCTTTCCCTAGGAAGGTGTACCTGATTGTTTCCCTTAGTATGAACTATAAAAAATAGGTCTTCTGTGGCTGAATGTCTTTCATCATATAGAGGTATACTATAGATTGCAAACTTGCATAAGGACCCAGCTTCAGTACTTGATCAAGAAGATATACTGTATGGGTAAGTCTTCTTATACCTGCTGTCCCTGATCACCTAACAAATATATACTGTATCAGGAAGTTAATAAACTGTTCTGGGTTACTTCCTGTGAAAAGGACCAAAGGACTTCAACAGATATAAGCCACACTGATCAGCATTTATAAGCACACAAAAATAGATTAATCATCCAGGGTTAATAACCCTAGAATAGATTAATCATCAAGGGATAATAACCCTAGAATAGATTAATCCTCCAGGGTTAATAAACTAATCCAGGGTCCAGAGTTACTAACCCTCAGAAACTCTTTCTTCTCATAGGTTTTTATAACTGTTATGAGCAGTCTTTGTATATTACCTCTGGATATTAAAGATGATGTACATTATGTTGAAATGAGATACACAACAGAGGATCAGAAGAAAATGAATCCTCTTTTTTATTTTTTGCAGAGCTATGCTGACTATATATATACATGTAATACAATTTATATATGCAATAAGATCACAGTAAAAAGGTGATATCAAAATATGCAAAACAACCACTGTGAAAGGATAGTGAAATTCCAAGTGCTTTCATGACTTCTCACATTATCAAGGAACTTGATAATGTGAGAGTCACAAAAGTGCTTGGAATTTCACTATCCTTTCACAGTGGTTGTTTTGCACAATTTATATATAATACAAATCATTATTATGTACTGTTAAGAATAATATACAGCACATATGGCATGTATAAATGGAATGATTTTGATGGAAATAAATTTTATTAAGGAATTGTGGGGGTGATCCTAGGTTAAGCCATCATATTAGCATAAATAATTATTTAAATACATTATGCAATACTATACAAATTTGAACACATACTTCTTATATGGATTACAATACTTTTACGAAGTCCCAAACCAAACAAATAAATTAAAATGAGTTGACCAAATTTTGCTCCAACTTTCACTGACAGTCACCAGCTTGATTCATTACTATGTATAACAGCTTG